GTGATCCGTGTTTTCTTTGAAGTTTAATTGACCGTCGTAGTTAATTTTCTCTTACTGCAATCAGTCGAGAAAACCTTGATACAAAAGATGACTTCAAAAAACTATTAAACAAACTTCAAGTAGCGACTAAGAAGCAAAATGAATACCTACCGTGAATGTTGTTTCCTTCAATTAATCCCTTTCCTTCACCAAATACATAAACTCCTACAAAGAAAAATGTGAGCATAATATTGTCGTAAGATTATAAATCGATCAGGTTGAAGTAAAGGTAGCTTGGATTCAAACACAAATCTTGATTATGTTCCTAGTTCACTTAAGAAAGATGATGGTGATTAAGTTTATCTACATGTTTCGGTCGATTTGTACCCAACTTTAAAGTGTTCTTAATCTATCTGGATTTACTTGAGAGTTGAATATATACTACTAAGAGCATTTTCATGGTTTACTGATGGGCGCGATCTCAAAAAAACATGCAAACAAACAAACAATAACAAAACAAAAACACAACGGGTAGAAAAAAGTTTTACCTACCTCCTTGTTGTCCACCGTAGATCTCGTTGTTCCTAAAATACCATAAAAATTGTTGTCAAGTTTATGTCACACTGAAGCTGAAAAAACGCTTTTATAAATGAGAATTACTCGTAATCTTGTCATGGAGAAGCTAGAAGCGATATGGCAAACCTCTCACATACAATGAGGAACCAACCATGCCAGAGATTGTGCCAAGTTTGCAAAAAAAGGAAAATCACAGATAAAATAGATGCTTTTCAAAAACGTGAAATAATGCCAAGTGTAGCCTGAGAACAGGACTTCATTATGAGCACCTCGGCACTAGCGTTTCTTCTCTCGCGGGAAAGTATGAGGCTTTGAGCAGTGCAAGTCGGCAAGTTTTCCACAACTTGCGAGGGGTCTGGCACTGAAAATGCTCATTAATAGTACCAGACCCCCGGCAAACCTCTCTGATACTCGTTTTTAATCTTCTCGCAAGGGGAAGGGGGGGGGGAGGAGAAACGTGCGTTCTGCAGAGCTAATAATAATAGCGAGGACCTCGTCGCAGGCTATGCCAAGTACAGAAAGCACTTCATTCAAGGTGCACTGATATTGAAAGCGCACCTCTTCTCTGACAAATTTTCCCCTTCAGTGTAAATGGAAACATTTGACGAGTTTCGGGCTCAAGTAAAATTTCCTCCAGCAAGTTTTCCTCCACAAGGGTCGTTGTGCAAGTTTTATTTCCCTCAACCTTTTACAAGGTACAATATTTGCCTGACTCTATCCGATTTAACCCTTTGATCCCTAAGAGTAACAAGCTACATATTTTCTCCTCACACTACCACCCCTGAATCAAAAGGAAATGATCCTCAAATTAAGAGAGCTCTTGATTGTTAAACAAATTCTCCTTGTCAGCATCTTTGGAAATATTTTAAAGAACAGCCTGGAGGATATGCAGACTGATGTTAGGGTGTAAAGAGTTAATAGACTGAAGAACACGAAAATCTTTCTTACTTTATGGTTGGATTGCTCTGTGACGTGATCCAAACTCCAGCGTATGTGTTAGAGTAGATCTTATTTTCCAGGAATTCACCGCGTGCCTGTTTGTTAAACATACACCACTCATCAATGCATTTGAATATATGAAAATCATATTTGTGTACTGCCGTTTCATGAAATGTATGAAAGCGATCCTCGGAGTAATAAAACGTACTTATATAGTAGTGCAAATAAGGCCTGAAAAATATTCAGGCCCGTACGGGATTTGAACCCATGACCTCTGCGATACCGGTGCCAGGTTTATTACGAACCAACATAATGACAAGCTCCCAGTTGGCTTGTTAGGTCAGTTGGTAGAGCACTCCACCGGTATCGCAGAGGTCATGGGTTCAAATCCCGTTCGGGCCTGAATATCTTTTCATACAATACACCACTCAGTTTTTAAAGAGACAAAATATCTGTTATGTAAGTGAAACGAAGTGTACTTACATCGTCATGACAGTATATGCCGCCCGTCATCCCGTGGTGTATCTTACAGCCAACAACAGTTGGATTGGCGTGAGACCGAATCTCAAACCCGGCGATACGGTTGTTGTATACATCATTTCCTTCATAATAACCCTACAATGACAATAATTATTTTATTAGTGTTTATAAGATGGTGAACGTTGTACGCATCGTCTGATTGGACTGTTCAGTTTCCAAGAGGATGCTTTACCAGGCGATAGAGCCTGCATGTAACCAGTTATGTCATATAAGCAAGAGAACGCATTTTTTTTCGGGCTCTATAACGCGATAAAGCCACTTGGGATGTAGTTCACCTCCGGCTCGGGATTTAAAAGCTGTCATCGTGTTCTCCCAACATCCCGCATGGCTTTATCACATTATAGAGCCCGAATAAATGTGTTCTATTGCTCACGTTGTGCGACTAACAGCCGCCTTTTAACACGGCCAAAGCGTAAGAATTGCTCAAGGCACGGCCAGGAGCAACTTCAGATTCTTTTATGAAAACTCAGTATACATGTGCTTCATACTTTGCTTAAAATCTGAAGTCCTTAAGAAGAGTTAGTATATACTAGCAAGGGAAAACTCAGGTGTACTGCTGACACATTTCTTCGCCAGTTTTTTCCTCTGTCTGTTGGAGAGTTTGGCAACTGGAACTCGCAGCTAAACTAGACGCGAAATTTACCGCAAAATGCAACCGCACACGCCATGTTCACAGGGCCGTTGGCTCACTTAAGAATTATATGATAAGCTGTATTGTTCACGCACTTTGATTGGTCCTAACTCATGATACATTGCGCCGCGCCTCGTGTGCCTTTCAGCTTTTGTTCTCACTACATAACGTCTTCTGCGATGTATTACTGAACAGAAACACGGCAACATGGATTCTACTTATTTTATAACACAAAAAAGGAAAATGTCGATTAATGGTGACGTCATATACGCGTCCGTCCTCCAATAGCTCATGCGTAAGAAACAATCAAAACGCATGCGTAATTCAGCTTCTCATATTAAAAAAAAAAATTGGTTCATGCTTAGCGTGCGTATATCGAGCGTGCACCTCGAGCAACTCGAGCGCCACGAGGAATTCTTACGCTTCTCTAGCGCTCTCCAAACTTCCCAAGTGCATCGATAACTCGATATACGCCAGCTAAGCATGAACTAATTCTTTAGTGGATCATGATGTTTCAGTTGGAATTAGAGAGGACAAGCGTGCTATGTTATAACATGGGATGTTCAAGAACAGGAATGTTCGAATCAGGAAGTAATCTGAGAAAAAATCTTACCAATCCATAATCGAAGATAAAGAAGCCAACATCTCTGCCGTGATGCACTTTATTCCTTCTCATGATAGGACTGGCATGGTTTCGTACCCAGACCCCTGCTAGCTTGATGTTTGTGATCTCACAGTCTTCATATGTTCCCTGTGAAGAAAATTACAATTAAAAGTCCTCGGGCATGGCGCATGCTCAGCTTTCTCTTTTCTTCTACCAGCAAGACATTCACAGTATGAAAAACTCCATGGCCGTTAAGGTCTTGTTTAACATATCCGTGTTCTAAACTATCTTGAATTTAGCTAAATCTTTTATCTGAACATTATTTTTTCTGAACAGTATCAAGAGGGCCGAAAGCCAGCAGTGGAAGGACATTTATTTTAATGAAAACAGACCCCTTCTAGAGAATTCGTAAGGTCCACTGCTTGCGTAAAAACCGAGGTTTGGGTTAGACCTGGTGTAAATAACCGGCCCCATAAGTTTCTATGGAGGTTCAGGTATGTGCTACATAAATTGTGGGTTATTTCTCACCTGTGCATCATCTGTGATGAAAATGCCAACATTTTCTGAGTCTGAGATAAAACATTTCGACAACATAGGTCTGGCTCCTCTTCCATGCACGTAAACCGTGGCACCAGCTATGATCAAACATAAAAATCAAAATGAACTGTCCACTGATTCCTACATGTTACTGACATTACCAGAAGTTTGTTTGAACTTGCAACAAAAAAAATACAAACATGAGTTGTAAAATGCTAAGAATGTACGAAAATCATATATTTAAACTCGTTATTTGTATTTTGACTTGCCTTACGGGCTCGTCAAAATACGGCACAACTTGTTAAAATACTCAGCGATACTACACAACAAAACGTCTAATAAGGTATATATATTGTTAGCTCAGCTAGTAGAGCACTGCACCGGCATCGCAGAGGTCATGGGTTCGAATCCCGTACAAGCCTGAATTTTTTTCAGGTCTAGTGCTCCTCACTGCGAAGATCGTTCTCATAGGAATGAGTTGTAAAGCCGATCTCTTACCGCTAGCAAGACTGGTAAGCTTGCAGTTGTAGATTGAAGGGGCACAGTCGTCGACAACCTCCACACAGCCTGATCTGATCACCTCAGATTCGCCGTTTGGGTTGTTCTGCAAACAAGGAAGTCCATCGAAATAAAAAAAAGGGGGAAACGTTCTAAAGAAACTGTGGTGCTGCGAGAGCAACTAACGCTCAAAACTTCAGCTTTATGTCAAGCCCTTGAAATTTTTTACAGTGGCCAATTTACATTATCAATTGAGTTGATAGAACCAAATTATCATAGAAATGAAAGTTGAGTATAATAAAAAAAAAACTGGCAATAGCTTAGGGTAATGTTAAAACTGTATCATTAAAACAGGTCAAATTCTAACCACAAAAGACTCAGCCCAAGTTTCTTTGGCAGCTTGATTTACTATGCTACGTGTATAGGACACTGCATCAAGAGCAATTTTACAAATGAATGTTGACCTTAGGTAAGTCCTGGTTAATAACAATAATAATAATAATAATAACGTATATGTGCACGATCCTTCGCAGTAAAGCACTAATAGTGCTTTACTGCGAAGGATCGTGCACATATACGTTTCATAACCGCAGTTCATATGTATGTATTTCATATATATTTGTTGAAGGATAAAATTGTTGTTCTTTATTGGGTCGAGATAATTACAGAGTACATATTCAAAAAGTAAGCATTTGGAAGGACCATGGCAATATGCCCTGGTGTGCCAGTCTTTTATNAGAGACCGTGTAAACCTGGTTCTAATAAAGAAACACAAAAGAAAGGCTGCAGAAGAAAGCAAGGCCAGTGGAATAGCAGTTGATGAGCCTTCAGAGTTTGATGCAGCAATCGAAGAAATATGTGAGAAAGCTGAGGCTGCAGAGAGAGATCAGCAAATGATATCAGTGGAAAAAAAAGCCAGTGCAGAGAAAGAGAAAAAGCAAGTGGAGGATATTAGAGCCAAGGCTTTGGAGAAAGTTGGAGAAACAAGAAAAAGAGTGGTTGGTGATGAGGTTAGTGAAGAGCCCGAGAAAAAGGAGAAAAGAACAAGGAGATCTGGAGCAGAGACCATGGTATATCTGAGGGAGAAGTCAGAAAAAGAATTCAAAATCAGGCAAGAAGAGCTAGAACTTAAAAAAAAGGAACAGTGTGCCCAAGCAAAGCGGCAAGAGGAAATGACACAGCAACTGATCCATCAACAGGAGCAGCAGCGAACAATGTTTGCTAACCTCCAGCAGCAGCAACATCAGCAGCTTCAACAGCTAAGCCAGATGCAAATGACTATAATGCAGCAACAACAACAACAGAACCAGGCACTAGTGGCTGTGCTGCAAGAGCTTGCCAAGAAGCAGTAAACAGAATAAAAACATGTTAAGTTTAGTTTAAGTTGATATACTATGTATTTGTTGTAGTTCAATTTCATCCTTGTTTCAATTTGTCTTTTTCTTTGTTTTACACTCATTTTCATGTTACGATACACAATATTGAACCAAGGATAAAATTTAACGTATATGTGCACGATCCTTCGCAGTAAAGCACTAATAGTGCTTTACTGCGAAGGATCGTGCACATATACGTTTCATAACCGCAGTTCATATATATGTATTTCATATGTTTGTTGTTTGAATAATAATAATAATAATTGTCACTGCTAATCGCCATCGCAAAGTACAGTGACAACACAGCTCAACAAGGTCGAACTGAAAGCGTACAATGGCGCCTCTGGCAGCCACTATACAGTCCATGTGTGATCTTGGAGAACAGCTTACAGCTAGCTGGAATCATTTGGTGAGGAAGGAAAACCGGAGAAAAACCCTCAAAGCAGAGAAGAGAAGTAACACAAATTCAACCCGCTTATGCATTGGGTCCGGGAATCAAACCCAGGCCACATTGGTGGGAGGCGAGTGCTCTCACCACTACACCATCCCTGCTTGTTGAAATCTAGGATTGTGATTTGAGAGTGTTAGGATAAACCATCCTACAATCAAAACCAAAGTAATTGCAACAATCAATCAGATCGAAGGAAAATACCACAAGCAACCATGGAGAACCCAAAACAAAATAAGCAAATTGCTCAAAGTATCAGAAAAAGTGGGTGACCAAGTTGCCATTGGGTTGAAGTTTTGAATCTAGTTGGTTAAAAAATGCTCTATCTTCTGGGATTGGTTCCACAAAGCTCACACTGGATTGTCAACCATTTGGATGTCCACAAAACTGTATTAAACATAACTCAGTCACCCATGATGTCTTTATGTCCAGAAATACATGCAGTAATGCAAGTGGTGAAATTCCTCCAAATTGTCAAATCTGCCAACTGAAGCTGATTTCACTTCATCTAATTGGTCTAATTCTTCAAAATCCTAAATTTCACTTCAACAAATTTGACTAAAATTTGCCAAAATTGTCAAACCCATGAACATTCACTCAGTTTGACAAAATTTTGTCATATCTACCATCCATTTCGTCTCAGTTCATGAAAACACAAGAAAAGAACTCAGCTAATATCCATCTTGACCTCACGCTTGGTTGATAACCAACTTGGCACTACACGCCTTGTTGGCTATTTGCTGTCTCATATCCAATTTGCGCTCATGAAATACATGTAATTGTTAAATATGATGTAACGATGTAAAGGGTCGACAGTCACTTTTAGTTGACTTCTCTCTGGCTGATTCTGAATAAATTACTTGTTACAGACCTTCAAGGTGACATGTCCAAGGAAAGAATTGCCTGAACCAGCATTGAAACTAACAACTGTTGAAGAGTCACACTGAATGACCACAGGATTGTCTTCACTCTTAGCTGTACAGTGTAAATAAAAAGAAGCTATCCTGTGAGCAAGTAGCTTTTTCTTTGGTTAAAATTTTAACAATAGTCATAAAATGAAATAATTAACATGACATGCATGATCCATAATTCAGAACCTTGGCTTGGATGACGCTGCATGCCTTTCTTCAAAATCCAAGTTATACAACTTGGGTCATAAAGATGTCACACAGTTTTGGATGAAGGAGTAAAATGGAAAAAAGATCAAACAACAAAATGGGAGGGGAGGGGCTTACAAAAAGTGACAGTTATCATGATTATCATCATTGGTGTTGAAACACACTTATTCTAAACAGGCCTCTGTTGCATGTAAATGGGAGGATGAGGTCCTGGAACCCACAGGATGTGAATTTTCCTTCCCTGTAGTTTAAGTGGATTCCTGAAATTTCCCACTAAAAATTAATTGGAGGGAACAGGCTTGGATTGGCAAGTCAGCATATATTGTGGTTCAAATGATGAATACATGTCACATACCTACTGATGACAGAATTTATGGCAAATTAAAGATTAATTTAAAGACCCAAGGAAAGAAACATGAAACAATCAGTAAGGTTCTAGATATTAATTTCAATTAGTAACATTACAGTGTACCTGCTCCAATGATTGCGACAGGCTTGCTGATAGACAGTTCTTCATAATACACACCACTGTGTACAATTATGATGCCATCTTCTTGCACAGCATCCAAGGCCTCTTTGACTGTTTCATGATACTATAAACATAGAGAGTATAAAATATGCTGTTGGTCAACTAATTCATGCATCCATAAACCATTTGCTGTGTGATCAATGGTTCTGATCTCGCAGAAAAGACAAATAACTGGACTAGGCAAAAACTTTCTGTGACATCCAAACAGCACACATTTCATACAATTTCTGTAAATTTTTCTGGATTCTAAGAGCACCATGAAAATCATTCTGACTGAGTTATTTGCTAACAAGAGAATGCGAAACCGAGACAAAAATATGTTCTTGGAAACTTGAATGATCAAAGTGGACAAATTTTTGAACAACTGCATGAGTACTGGCAAAATGGTTTGAATTTTTTACCCTCATTGAATGTGTATAAAATACTTAATAAAAAAGATCACATTTCTACTTCTGTCTTTTCAGTTAAAAATGTTGAAAGATGCTACAATGTGGTAAAACATCATGGTATCTTGATTACCTGAAGCTTGTGCAACACTTTTCTCAAATGTTCTAATCAAAATCTTATGCCATTTGTCATTAACAACTACTGGTAAACATACACAGTAAAATATCAAATGTTGGTTGATAAAATTATAGTCAGCAGCAGCTGTTTTTATGTCTTTATTGACACCTGACAACTTGCTGCAGGCACCCTTTGTATGCCCCTGCTTAAATAATACATGTCAAACATCATAAAAGAATAAAGGCTGATAGTTTCAAAAGAAACTGTTTGGGCTGCGTCAGTGGGAGTAACGAAATAATTTGGATATATCAACAAAGTTGAAATGGTAAATTGGCCACTGTAACGATTACAAAAGCTGACGTTTTGAGCGTTAGCCCTTCATCAGAGCAAAAAGAATGACTTGTTTGAATCAACCGCCGCCTGGTTAGCTGATGTTGTAGAGTGTCGCACTTCCATGCAGGAGGTGGAGGGTTCAGGCACCAGACTGCACCAACACTCAGGGTCTTAAAATAAGTGAGGAAATTATGCTGCCTTTGCTATGACATCTGTAAATGGTTAGACATTCCAGTCATCTTGGATAAGGATGATGAACCATAGGCCCTGTTTCCTGCATTTTCTCTGGACTGGCTAGCAGGGGGATGTTAAAGAACCCACACACTTACAACAAATAGTAGGGAATGTAGCTCTGGTGTTGTGGTCTAGCCTCATCATTGTTTATACAGGCCCCCATTAAAACCAGCATGTAGCTGAACTTGGCCAGCCGGTCTAAATATCACAAATGCAATACAATAGAATACAATATAGTTTAAATTACTTTTTATATTAAAAATCAGCTTACATTTATTTTTCTTCCTGTGTATTGTGCTGGATTTAATTTCCTCTGTTTGGCAGTGGTAGGATAAACATGGTGGGCATGATAAAATGCACAGAAGCTTTTTTTCCAGCACAAGTCATTTTCAGGTTCTTGGTTAATATAGATGCCTTCAGAATTCTTTATCAAGATGTTCGCCATCTCAAATACTTGACTATAGAGAGATCGCCTGTATTGACATTAAACACACATTAAATGATATGAACTTTCACTGATAGAAACAAATTGTATCATTAACAATTATTCTCCTAGTGGCTGTGAACAATTGTTTTTTTTAGTACACCAACATATATACCACACAGAAAGCAAAAAAAAAATTTATTTCATTAACCTCTAAACTCCCAGAAGTGATTAACCTGTAACTTCTCCCTATAATATCCATACATTATCCAGTTCACAGGTAGTTAGAATACTCAAATTTATCAGGTAGTTGATCCCTTGATTGAACACCAAATTCTCATAACCAATTTACAAGGAAATGTGTAGCAGCTAGAGGAGAGAATTAACAAGCAGATCTTGGGAATTAAAGGGTTAATATCATAGGTGACAAATTACTCATTAATTTTAGTGCAAAATTCAGCGTTAATTTTTAATTTCACTCGTGAAATTACAAAATTGCACTGGTAACATCTCTTGTATCTCGATCAGAGCCAAGATGTGTCGAGATTTAAGACAGTGACCCTTGAAGAAGTTACAAAATTAAAAGAAGCAGCTGAAAATTTAAATATGCGAAAGGGCACAATTAATTCGAAAGGTATTTTTTCGTGAAGAAACTCAGAAAATTACAAACTTTAACAATACTTTTCTTCTTCATGTTCTCGGTTTTTGATAGAATAAACCAGTAAAAAAAATTACGGTTGTGAACGTAATTTGTCACCCACGATATTAAAAGGTAATCAAATGGTTTTCTCGTGAAATTAGGAAATAATTTCATATGCATTTTGTCAAAATTCTGAAAATTTCCCTCTCCTAAAGGCTCAGGAAATTATCAGAATTTTGACAAAATGCGCGCGAAATTATTTTCTAACTTCACTCGTCGCCATTTGATTACACATACTAATACCAAAAAACGGTCAGAAATTAAACTGTCTAGCAAATAGTCCTTGCTCTTTACTTCCAAACTAGCCAATCAGCACAGGCAAAATACAAAGTTAACCTGTCTGGTATACAGTAAATAATACTGTCCAAGAAATATAATTATAGAAATGGCCAAAAAGGGAAGCTTCAAGGGAAAATAGGAAATTTTGAGGACAATCTCTTAGCCAAAGACATTACTTATCAGCTGGCATACCAGCAAGCCAGGTTTCTTTTTTTATAACCCTCCCATTAATTTTGATATGGCACGTTGATATCAAATTTTATTAACTTTTTTGTACTTTCTGGAGCAGCATTTGAGATCAGCTTTTTAATGTTACTATCACTGGATTCTGCAAATTAAACAAGTTTGCGTTTTTTCCATGTCAAGTGTTGGCTTGACTTCGCGAATAAAGATTAAAAAGGTTGTCCACGTTTACCTCGGCTGCAGGCACGGTCGTGGCTGACCAGACCGATGTCAAGTAATAAAGATGAAAAAGTGAAATCATTGAGCTAGCTTATTTCCACTGGCTTTGTTTCATTTTACAAGAAATAATCCGAGGAAAATATAGAATGATGTGGACTGAGGCTATTTTCGTGTTGATGAGGGTTATAATTTTGTGATAACTGTCCGGTGATTTTCTGCCACATGATATAGAGTTGCCAGTAGAACTGCGTGAAAAATTAATGAGAGGATTAGAAATACTAATAACAAATACAGTATCCTAACCCTTAAATTACCAAGAGTGACCAAGACAGAATTTCTCCTTACAATATCAATACAGTATCAAGACTGGAATCCTGTCAAAGCCTGAAAGTTATTATTACTGATGGTCACATGTACATTCACACGACATAATCAACAATGTTCCACTAGATAATTCACCAGATACTAACCATAAACAGCCATCCTGGCAAATGGTATTAAGTCTGTTACATGTTTGTGCCATGTGGCAAAGGTCTCCCTCTTGAAGATAGGAACATATCTGAAGCAGAACCTCATCAGGAACAGCTTTGATATAACAGTTTGAAACATCTGCAAATTAAAAATGGCATAGAAGGGATGTGGACCTCAAGGTTCAAAAGATCAGGGCTTGCCAGTAACTTTTCAACTAACTAGCCAAGTGGCTCGTGACAACTTAGATTTTAGAACAATTTCAGTTTATTTACTAGCCAAATTGGCTGGTGGAAATCGAAAACCACTGGCCAAAACTGAATTTCTACTAGTCTATGGCTAGTTGGCTACCAGTGGTGTCGAGCCCTAAAAAGATGTCAGTAAGATGCGGGAAGGTATTTGACCTTTTCATAACAATTCTCGCTATGTCTTCCATAATTCTTATGACCTCAGACCTTAGAGGTGACAAAATTTGTTTTTCTCCTCACCACCACTGCTGGAAAATTTGTAGATAATTGTGAAGAAATTCCATTTTGATCGCTTCTGGGGGTGTAGAGTCACAAATGGGAAGATATCATGTACGTTAATCGATCAGTCCATGCAGAGTTGAGGTCATTCTTGAAATAATACGCATAAAATCCGGCTTTACCTAGGGTTACTTATTTTTTGAACATCCGAAGCGATATCTTCGTATCTCTTTACTAACGTTTACTGCTCATTGATGCCAACACATTTCCACTCATACATTTCGTGACAGCAATTAAATTATTGAGTCAAAGGGCACGTGGGGGCTTGTTCAACAAAGACGCTGTGAATAAAAGACCATTAACAAAGATATACGCTCGCAAAGAGACAGCTTATTTTAAAAATTTACCAGAAATAAATTTATAACTATAGAAGGATGGCAATCCCATGCATACCTCTCTGGGATGAAGACCGTTGATTAGTGGAACTCGTAAGTTTACACGATCTCTTTCGATTGGGGCTTCGTGTTGGACTGCTTTTTGTGTCGAGATTTCGTGTAAACCGGATGATCGACTGAAAATATTGCAAAGGAGACATTAAAAAAAAAAAACATACCCGAAAATTTCACTTTCGATCCAACATAACTAGAATAGAGAAATAATTTTAAATCATTCTATAGTCAAATGACGCCGACTTATCCAAAGAACAAAGAAGTGAGAAAAAAATATGGTTAATCGATAGATTCTGAAAACACATGTCCAATAATTTTCACCGACCTCCTCACTTTCTAAGCGACAGTATTTTTCATCCATCGAAGTACGATCAGTGCTGCATTTTCTTCGTGGCCTGTCCCTCTCTTCAAAGCGAAACAAAGAGCAAGGTTGGACATGGTAAAATGACTTTAGAAAACCTGCCTAAGATATGCCTAAGGCAAACACCATCGATTTCAAAGCCGATCGTTAGAAATAAACCTTTCTTACTCAAACTACAGCCCCGCAAGTTCGAAGAACATTTCTTAGATTTCCGGTAGTACTCTGTGCAAAGCCTTGGCCTTTTTGAAGAAGACATCACTTCAGGTTTTCTTGAAAGTAAACGGACCCAGCTGTTTGCTTTGTCGTAAAAAACGGGATTGTTTTCATGTGTAGGAAATGACGAACCTTCTTTTATCTCTCTGAGCCAATCAGATCTCACGAAAGACAAAAGTGTAAGTTTTATCCAATTAGATTCCGGCTTCCAGTGTCAATGGAACGAAATTCAAATGCAGATATAAATGCGATAAAGGATGCCAAGAGACGAAAATACGAGAAATACGACAAATTAGAGCTTACGAACTTTATAAGAAAATCGTAGCGCAATATTGCCATTATTTCACAATGTCCTTTTATTAAACCTTTTCTTGACAAAATATAATCAAATCTAACGCCTTGCTCAAAAGTGAGGCCGTATTTTTTACATTTTCAAGATGTTCACCAAAACACGTTGAGATAATTTCTTACGCCGCATTAATTAAAAAAAAATGATTGTTTGGGTTCTGAGCGGACAAATGCCTTCAAGGCAGTATCTCACTGGAAAGTTGAATGATTAATAGAAATCTCATTTGAACGATATAACCTTGAAAGTGACAGACCTTGACCTTGAAAAATAATGTACTATCTGCTAACCTATGGTTTTCTTTTCCACCATTGTCTAACCGACTCATTCAGAACTCACGCCAGTCACCGTCTCGTTGGTTCTTTCATTGCTTCATTCATAATTCATTTTCCTTTCATCATCCATATCTCCATCCTATCATGTTCAAGCTTGTAGGTCAGGGCCGGGACTATACTCAACAATAACGCGATGTGCTAAAAACATTTCGAATTTTGTTGCACAAGGAACTGAAAGGAGAATACACGCAATTTCTTGTAGGTGTGTCTGGGAGAATTAATTACAAAGAACAACATTTATGTTAAAACGTTTAACGTAATGGTTTCAGGGCGAGACACCACAAACCGAGGGTATTGAATCTGACCGCAAGCAAACTAGAATGGAACAAATCGCAACAAAATTTTTTCCACACTTTGATTACCGTTACATGTAAATTACCTTTACGATCTACACTGAAATATTTTTTTTCGTTTCGCAAGTTATCTATTTTTTTTTTTTTTTAGATGAAAACCGATGCAATCTTTTGTGCAAGCAAATGACAGGTGAAGACGTGTAAGAAAATAAATTTCTTACATACTGGACATCACCTGGAAGGGAACATAGCCATTGTTTTTTTGTTTTTTTGTTTTTTTTTTTTTTTCGCTAGTAGAGTAAAGTAGCTTTGATCTTTACTATGGCTTTGCTCGCAGCCGGCTCTGCAAGTCCCGGATGATGCCTCCGATCAGTATTTGTATACCGTGCGTTCTTTTGGTCGCCCTCAATGAGCGACGGCTTGGAACTGGCTACCATAAAAAATACCCCATTAATATCAGCACAACATGTTTAGTTAACCGGGTTTAACTGGATGACAGTCAGAAGCAGAGAAATAAAATCCTGAATTTCCCACAGACTAAGTATTTGCTAACTTGCAGATTCAATGTGTTCCACTCGAGGTCGACTAACATCGGTTTAAACAGCTACTATAAAAAAATTACATTAAACCGCGTGAATAGAACAGTTTTTTTAAAAAATGTCTAAGCTTAGATGTGAAAAGGCTATTAGTGACGGAAGTTACTCTCCTTTGACCGCACATGCTACAGAGGAGGCGACTATAGACATGCAGAAATACACAGAACATGTTGCGGAAGCGGCACACCCATCGATTGGTCGGATGTCACTTTTCAGTCTGAAACCCTTCATGTCTGCGCCAAGTACATGATACATGTCAACATCATCTTTATTGACACAAGTCAGCGTAGCGTTTGTCAAACTTCAAAATACACATACTCGCTAAAAAATGAAAACAAAAAACAAAAAAAAAACAACAACAGAAAAAAAACAACAAAACAATATAAACAATAACTGGGAAAATTTTTATGTGAAAACTGATCCAGCTATTTTTAAAAAAAATGAGTCACTTCTTTTTGTGTAAGACCTATCCTTGTGTGCCAATAGCCTGAAAATAGGCCCTCGTCATCAGCGTTGCGACACAAGCATTTTTCAGCCCGCGGGAAAGTCTGAGCTTTCCAGTAGGTTTACTGGGGGTCTGGTAATGAATCCTTTCCCCGACTCGTCTCCAATCTTCCCGCGGGCGGTGAAAATGCGCGTCTTGCATAGCTCGCAGGTTAGGTGTGAGAGGTGTTCATATATAGGGCAGAAAAAGGGCAGAACCAAATCCATCTTTCTCTTGCGGATATCAACTGCTGTCATTATCCAGAGCTACAGAGATATCTCGCAAAAGTGCGTCAACTCTGAGTTGAAGGTCTCTATTTTGCATTTCTATCAACGAATGTTCGTCCGTTAAGTTTGTAATACATTCTTTCACTTTTACAAGATCATATCGACAGTAGTTCATCAGAGAGCACTGCTCCTGTTCTTCTAGAATGCAAATAGACCTGCTCCAATCCTGAAATACAGAGATTTCTGAGCCTTTTTCTGTTAAACACGCTTCACTGTCCATGTCTTTAAGTTCTCTTGGCGTAACTGTTTTCTTCCCTTTAACGATTCCTATTCTCTGTTTGGCTATCGAGTCAAGAAACTCCACGAATTCTTCATAATTTATTCCACAACTTGCCCGTAGAATCACCTAAATCAGTGAACAAAGCCAACATGTAACCGACAGTTTCAACTTAAAGCGACAGTTAAACAGTTTCAACCTTTGCATCTAAACATTAAATCTCATATTCTCCACACTCACTTCACAAATTGCATTAGTCAGTACTGACAAGAAGGGTTTGTTTGATAATCCGGAGCTCCTTAAATTGAGTGATCATTTTCTTTATTCTCGCAACTTTATCTCTTGATCCAAGGATGATATTGCAAGGAGAAATTAGATGTCAGACACACCTGCGGCAGTGTTTATGAACACTATATGGATAGAAAACAGGAAGCTCTGCGAACGAAGCTGATCTAGTTTAGGAGAAAGTGGAACGACGAAATTTCTACCAACATTTGTCTAACCATTCAATACAACAGTCCTTTCCGTCAAACCAAGGTTTTAATGATGAAGTCTAAACACACACTAATGGAAATGGAGCGACCTCGTTTCTAAATGCAAACTGACCACCGTAAAGCGTTTATAAAGCAGACGTTTGGGGCGTTAATCATTCGTCAGAGCGAAACAAATACCTAATGAAGGTGAAGGTAGTAAGGAATTTTCTATCTTGTTAAGAAGACAACCTAACTTGCCTGATGCGCACAATCAGAGTTCACGCCCTGGCAACTTTTGCCAGCAAATAGCGTATACGATCATTGTGCGTGTGTGTGAGTTGCACTGATTGGGGGGGGGAAGGTCCACACACTGAGGATTTTTTTGTGCAATTTTTTTAACGGAATATTTTTACTTTACACAGCTCATCAATATACCTGACACTGCTGATGCCAACCTTCCATATCCCTTCAGTCCTCGATACTTTTCTGGACCTGCGCATAGAAAAAATTAAAATTCCTGAAGCTTTTTACGGCAAAAGAAATCAAGTGTTCCAACATTTTATAGTAGTACTTACTAAAACAGCAGATAGTGTTAAAGGTGCGCTCTGATTGGCTACTCCAAGTAGCCAATCAGAGCGCGATAAGTTATTCGGAGTTTAGCAAACTCGGGCGGGATTTTCTCTCGAAAATATTGTAATCGTTGCAGGAGTAAATGAGTTAAAATCGCCATTTTGTGTTCTATGATGTTACAGCTTAATTATATACTTCTAGTTAACAAACATTCACCTCAGTGTCAGTGGCTATCGGTGGATATTTACCTTGGCACTTCCTGGCTCGGTAAATATTCACCACTGGCCGCCTCCACTTTGGCGAATTGTCGTCAATTAGCCCAACCCTTTGCCGCAATCTCCTTCCTCTTCAAGACTACCATGTTGGTAAACTAAAGAGATATCGGGTTATAAGTCACAAGACATAGTGCTAAAGTGGCCATGTTCTTAAACGAAGACAAGACTATTTAAGACTTTAACCTACTTTCTATTTAATAACAGGAGCCACAAGCGCACTGTGAGAGTCATCCTCGGAGATCCTGGGGCTGTGAGTCGATTTCAAGTTAGGGCGGAAGAGCGGGACTCTTCCGCCCTAACTTGAAATCGACTCACAGCCCCAGGATCTCCGAGGATGTGTGAGAGTAGATTCTAAGGACGGATGTGCACAGGACCTCAGGTCATTTTTCGCAACAAAGTTACTACTCGCAAAAGTCCCCAATGAAATTAAAAGTTTCACGTTATTTTCACCGCCGGGCTCATACCTTTCCCCTGTGTCCTTGTTTTCTCCACCTGCTCTGTTACCTAATTTTTTTTTTCTATTTGCGGAGGCTCATTTTGCGAGCTTGGGCTACCTGTGATCAGATCTAAAAAGTTTGTTCTTTCATGCCATCAGACGCTCAAAAAGTTAAACGAGCGTTTGAAGTCCAACATGACCTCATAATGACCTTTGGCCACAGTTAAAACAACTCCTTACATTCCCTTCCGTCATAAACATAGACTATGAGTATAACCTCCTTTTCCGCTCAATCCGTCACGCTCCAAGAGATCGCCGCAGCGCGCTAAGTAAACGGCAATTTTTTCCACTGATTTTCTTTTTTTTAACAGGCGCGATGGACTTCGCGAAGAGGAGGGGCTGCTGGTAGTGAAATCATGATCACTATCCAACTCACCTTGACCAGTTCACCTTTTAAATGTTCCCACATTTTCGAAATTCCGCAAGCATTGGTCCAGTTGTGATTTATGGAAATAGTGTCTTCCTTTAGAGTAAGAAACCATATGCAATGCAATTAAAAATATATAAATATGAAATGTCTGATGATGTCCCCAGTTTGAGATTTTAAAGGGTGACCTAACCTTTCTAACATTTCCCTTAAGCATACTAAAAGTTGGACCTCCAACTACATCTTACTTACCAAGTTTATTACTTGATGGTGCCATCCACTGAAATTGTAACAATTTCATAGTCACTTGATTTTTTTCATTCAAAAGCCTTAAATTTAACCTTAACACCCAGAAGTGATTAACATGCAACTTCTCACTACAATATCCATACAATATCCACCAAACAGGTAGTGAGAATACTCAAACTTATCAGGTAGAAATTGTTATCTTGATCAAACACTTAATTCTTGTTACTAATTTTCAAGGAAATTTATAGCAGCTAGAGAGGAGAATTATCAATCAGATCTTGGGTGTTTAAGGGTTAAGTTTTACACTCTTACACCCTGTGTGATTAACTATTCAAAGACAATGTTTTCTCAAATTAAACAATCTGACTAAGCTTATAAAGTCTGTGTATAATGCAAAAAAGAACAGTTAGGAGGCAAAGTAAAGGACTGGAAACAGTCAACCTGTGGGACAACTAAGGTGGGGTGGACAAGGCAAAATGTGCTGTTTGAAGTATGAAAGTAAAGTGAAGTATTAAAACAATATCTTCCTTAAAAAAGTTACCCTCCCAATTATAGATTTTTGTAGAGATTCTCCTTGAAAAACTAATCAAGGCTGCAATGATGCAAATTTAAAGCAATATTCCAGCAATACCTTGGCACAAAGATGACTTCTCCCTCTCTTTGTATAACTATAAGTGGCTTTACAGCAGTATCAAATTCTGGAAATTTGTATCGGTCATTCATATCATCAGATGTAATGTCATATGCCAGGTTACCGAGTCTGTCGGTTAAATATTTTTCTTGACCAGGTGGATAAATCAGCCACTTTTTACATCCACATATATTGGCAGACCAACTGTATGACCTTTAAACAAAGTGGAATTTACTTTAAATGTTAAAGTCATAAATAACTAGTTATATAATCAATATATATGCATTATTAACCAAGTGTGAGGTCTAGATGGCTGGGTATTGGCCGAGTTATTTTTGTCCATTTTTATGGACTGAGAGGAAGTCGAGGCCATAAAAATGCAAAAAAAGGGCAAGGTTAATATCTAGTCATCTTGACCGTATAAGCTTGCTTAATAAAGGATTTATTATATTGCAAAAAGATTTCACTTTATCAAACATTATAAATGACTTGTTTACTTCGAGAGCCAGGAAAGAAAGCCAACTGTGTTTGTAGCACAACAAACTCACGAGAGTCATTTCTGTTTTCTTTGTTTTGACTATCTTCGGCTGCTATTTATGTCTCCATCACTGAAATTGTCCAAGAATTACAAATGTAGTTCTACTTCAATTTTTTTTAATGTGTGGCATAATGTGGGCAAAGGGCCCATCTTTCCTGCTCGGGTAGCCAATCAGAACCCAAGATTTGCTTCATCTTGCCGACAGGTGCTGTGACCGATGTAATAAATTCCTTTCTTGGGTGTTTAACTCTTTGACCCCTTAAAGAGTCCTAAAAGTGACTGCCATCTCATTTCTCCTTACATTATCACCTTGAATGAAACATAAAGGTCAGGAGAATAAAGGAAATGATCTCCAATTTGAGGAGTTTCTGATCGTCAAAAAAATTCTCCTCATCAGCACCTTAGGAAATGTATAGAGGACAGTACAGAGAAGATGCATACTGATGTCAGGGTGTAGAGGGTTAAAGCTTCAACGAAGGGCTAACGCTCGAAACATTAGCTTTTATAATTGTAACGGTGGCCAATTTACCATTTCAACTTTGTTGATATATTCAAATTATTATGTAGAGGGTTAGGTTTGCATGGACTCTTGGCAACCCATCAGACAAGTGCTTGAGTACAAGTGTAGCACTGCATTAGCTGATAATTTGAACACTGGTTCCTGATGTCTTTTTTCACATGTCTATGAGTCACAAGGAGATGAAAATGAGATGCAAAGCTTGGATGGTTGAAATGACAGTCCCAGTTTTCTTAGTTCCCTATACCTTGTGCACAGGGTACCATGCTCTTGTACATCACTTCTCTTTCAAAATGCATTGGGCAGGGTGATGTTTTGGGAATGAGATTACAACTGTTCTAATTCAAGCTTTTTTCCTGTATCTGTCATGTCAGCCAGTAAAGC